GACTTACTCTTCTTGTCAGAGTGCTAGAAATTAATTTTATTAACATATTGATATTATCAATATGATCAATTAGTTGATTATTGTCATCTGCTTACTGTACCGTTCCAGATATACCGCTACATACTGTTTTATATTATTGTGAGGTATTTCTCGCTGCTGGTCTTGCTTTGTCTCAGTACATTTTCTTGGACGTTTCCATTGTTAATCTTGATCTAACTGTTGTGTCATTATACTGAACTTTGTGTTTATTTAACGACAATAGAAGAGAAAATACGTTAATACATCCTCTACATAGAACACATTTAAATATGACATTTTAATATTCCTGTTTATTTGCTGAGTTCAGCATAGTGATACATTGATAACATACATTTTAAATACATTCTAAAATCTTATTTTTTACTTTTTCAGCACATAAACAGTAATTGTGTATTAGAATGTGCGGAAGTGTTTTCTGCAGAAGATGCACACTTCAGATAGAAAATGAACAAAACGTCGTTTGACCAGGGGTGCGCAAACTTTTGCATACTCGGCTGCTTCCCCTGCTGGATACAGAAACGTCATCACATGAAAACGAAACTAAAAGAAAGAGCTCGCGCCAAAACACGCGGACTGTTAATCGATCAGGTACGTTTGTATTTCTGTTAACTGAACGTAAAATAGAAGTAAAAACAGTAGAACAGATAGATCAGCGTTTATAGTTGTATTTTACAGCGTACCTGTTTCATGTGTAATTTGACAGTTTATCTTAATCTAACTAAAATCCAGTGTCGACCAAATGGCAGAAGCACGTTTTTTTCGAGCAGAACATATAAAGTGCTGTACTGCAGATTTAGAAATGCGTTTATAAACTAGTGTTTGCCTTGTAATATTTGTAAACAGCATATTTGTAAATTTAACTACGAAATCTCAATTCAGTTTGATTTGTGGAGCACATTTAAATATAGAAGTTGCTTCTCCCTCCTCTAGGCCTCTACAGGATATAATACCGTTATGATAAAAGCAGGACCAGTTTACAAAGACGATTTAACAGAGACACTGGAATCATAGAGATATAAGATCCAGAAGAGTAAGCAGTTCATAAAATGCAGGGAGTGGCTGTAAAGATCTGGAGAATCTACTGATGGTGTGTGGCGCATACAGAATGTTAGACATACACAGATATTTAGGGCAGCAGGGGCTGAGGAGGAAAAAGAGCGCCCTGAATCTCTAAGGTTTAGTACGTTATTAGCATGCATTACCATCACCATTATACTTGGTAATTACTCAAAAAGTAATCCGTATATCACAAGATACTAATTCCAAAGGATTATGTTACTTGTTACTTCCTGGAAAAAGTAACTACTCATTACTTCACTTCTGTGTTACTCCAAATGATCTCAATATTGGCAGATAATTTTGCTTGTTTCAAGCATCTTTCTTCAAGGAGCATATCCTACATTTACCTTGTGTTTCATTTTTTCTCCCTGAGGTCCACTTGTTACATTTGTGTGGTTTTATGTACCAAAACAGTGATGATTCATTTTTACATGACCATTTTACAACCTCTCTTTATCATGTTTTATTACTGTGAATTACAGGCTGATATATGTAAATGAGCTTGTTCTGATTGGTTTTCCCAAGCAATCTGAGCTGAAACACTCCTAATAACTTCAGGGTAAATGGACAGGGCTAAATGGCATCGAGCGAATGGCACCTTTTTAATATTTTAGCATGCTGTCATATATCAAACTTACAAAAAGAAAAGGAAGGAAAATTCAGTGTCCCAAACAAGCAAACTATCTGGCAATATAGTGATAGAATTTGACATAATAAAATGGATAAAGGTTTATAATCTAGTTCAGTAACCTTTTAATATGCTTTTTACAACAGTTTAAATGCATATATGGTGTGTGTGTGTATATATATATATATATATGAAATGCATTTGAACATAACTCAAAACCACCAGCCAGTAAACAGCTTTGAACAGTTGTGTGTGCAAAAATTCACAATATTTTTCATTAAAACACTAAAAAAGTACCACTTCCTGTTTAAAATGCAGGGTTTTGGCTAAAATAAAGGTCTGCCTGTGGACTAAAACATTTTAACAGCAGGATAGCAGGTCACTGTTGACCTACTGAGGGTAAAGCTATTGGTGGGTGCACTAGGTTATTGCCTGTTGTTTTCCAGGCAATCTGCTAGCGGTTAAAAAGAGTTTTAAACAAAATGATGCATTTTGTGATGTGCAAATCATTTAAACCCTATATTTAATTGAGAATAGTACAAAGACAACATATCAAATGTTGAAAAATACTGGTCCATTTTGAATTTGATGCCAGCAACACGTTCCAAAAAAGTTGGGACGGGGGCAACAAAAGGCTGGTAAAGTTGTGTCATGCTAAAAAAAACACCTGCTGGTTTATTGGCAACAGGTCAGTAACATGATTGGGTATTAAAAAGCATCCCAGAGGGGGTGAGTCTTTCAGAAGTAAAGATGAGTCGGGGTTCACCACTCTGTGAAAGACTTCATGAGCAAATAGTGCAACAATTCAAGAATAACATCTCAACATAAAATAGCAAAGAACTTTTGCTTTTCATCATCCACAGTACATAATAATATTAAAAGATTCAGAGAATCTGGAGAAATCTTTGTATGCAAGAGACAAGGCCAAAAACCAGTATTTGCTGGCCATGATCTTCGGGCCCTCAGGTGGCACTGCATGAAAAACAGACATGATTCTGTAGTGGAAATCACTGCATGGGTTAAGAAACACTTCTGAAAAACACTGTCTATGAAAACAGTTCGGCACTGCATCCACACATGCAAGTTAAAACTCTAAAATGCAAAGAAAAAATCATATATAAACAAGATCCAGAGATGCTGCCACCTTCTCTGGGCCTGAGCTCATTTAAAATGAGGGGAAATGGAGAAGTGTCTTGCGGTCCGAAAAATCAACATTTGAAATTCTTTTTTTGAAATCATGGACACTGTGTCCTCCGGGCTAAAGACCACTCAACTTTTTATCAGTGCACAGTTCAAAAGCCAGTATTCATGATGGTACAGTGGTGCATTAGTGCAAATGACATGGGTGAAGTGCACATCTGTGAAGGCACCATTAATGCTGAATGATACATATATGTTTGGCGGCATATGCTGCCACCCAGATGACGTCTTTTTCAGGGAAGGCCTTATTTTAGCAAAACAATGCCAAACCACGTTCTGCATGTACTACAGCAGCATTGCTCTCTATTAAAAGAGTCTGGGTGATAAACTGGCCTGCAGTCCAGACCTGTCACCACTGAAAACATTTGGAAATGAAAAATATGACAAAGGAGACCCTGAACTGTTCAGAAGCTGAAATCCTATATCAAACAAGAATGGGAAAACATTTCACTTTTAAAACTACAGCAGTTGGTCTCCTCAGTTCCCAGAGTTTGTTACAAGAAGAGGTGATGAAACACAGTGGTAAACATGCCCCTGTCCCAACTTTTTTGGAATGTGTTGTTGGCATCAAGTTCAAAATGGGCATATATTTAACAAAAAACAATACAATCTCTCAGTTTCCACATTTGATGTGTTGTCTTTGTAGTATTTTCCTTTAAAAAAATTGGTTCACATGATTTGCATATCATTGCATTCTATTTTTATTTACATTCTGCACAGCGTCCCAACTTTTTTGGAAATGGGATTGTCATTTTAACAATAAAATCATAAATAAAGTCAGTTATATTCACTAATACATAAGACATTCAGATTAAGATATATGACTAATCTTGAAATCAATATAGTTTAATCTGAAGTTCTGTGTTACATTACTGACAAAGACTAAATATGAAGATGAGGCAGCTGATATAAATCTTTACCTTAAATACTTAGACACTGAACAAAGCTCTGCTTTTGAAATTAGCTAGCTAGCTAAGAGATGTTAATCTTACTGTGTCAGAAAAGTTTCTGTATCTGTCCTTTGAATATGTCTTCGCATGGAGCAGCTTAGAATGGCACTCGGCTTCTCTTAGCAGTTCATTGGCTTTATAAGCCAGCTTTTTAAATGCATTTAATATTAGACCTAGTAATATTTTTTCTTTATTGTTTATAACATTTGTTTTGGTTTGTCTTGGCAGCTGGAGACAGAGCGTCTGAAGTTTCACGTTCTTTTTAGTTGTAGCGCTGTTTTGACGGTCGTCACACATCCAGAAGTAGTTGGCCAAATTTATTTTTTGTAATGTAATGTAAGAAAAGGAGTTTTTTTTTTCTTTGACTGATAAAAGACAACAGTGTCATTGTTTTGTCCATGCAGGCATCGCTGGGTTAACATTGCTAGCTAACATATCTGGAGAACATCACATCCTTATAAAGGTAGCAGTAAGATACATTGCAGTTGATTTTTGATTGCAACTGGCATTTAGTACATTTCACACTGCGCTAATATAAACTGTGACCATAAATATTTTTTTTTTTCCAAATTTTCAAGATTAAATATTTTTTTAACATAATCAAAAATGGTGGGACATTGCCTCAACGCTTTGAAAAGTGTGTCAAATACAGCTCCCCCTAGCTACTGCTATTCTGGAGGCCATGCGATTGTGTGCTACATGTCACGCTAAAATGGCAGCCTTTGATTGCTTTGCATGTCATTCAAATTGTTACTTCTTATCAAAGGAGCTATTCTTGGAAATGTTGAGTAATAAAACGTACCAGACTTTCTAGTGATAGTCAGTCTTGCACAGTTATACACACTGATCAGGATGGCACTACAGTCTGAGGGCAAAAGGGTCCATCATTAAGAGCAGGATGGGGTTTTCTCCCTTGAGTCGCTATACAAATGAAATTTGTTAAATCAATTAATAGTGATTAATGCAATGCATATTAGTCTCTGGAACAACTGACACATAAACTGATGCAGAGTTGGGTGCTAGCAATAAGGACACATTCGGCCTAATAATCAAATGAACAAATAGAGCACAGGAGTAGGAAAAAATTTGTCTGTGGTATTAATGCTTTTCAGAGAACACGTCAGCATGTCTTATTTTCCGACTAAATTCTGTATCCAGCTCATCATAAAAGCTGAGGAACAGTGTCTGCTTATTTTCTTCCCTGAAGAAAGCGTTGTCAGAGGTTGGTAGAAATGAAACATGAATATTTAAAAATGATAATATTAGTATAACATTATGATAGGTTGCTGACCATTATGACCAGTAAAAGAGGCCAGCAGTGTATTTTTTCTGAAATAAAATGATTTTGTTTCTGAAGTAACAGGAATTAGAAAAATCATTTACAGGTTTCCTTAAAAAATCTCCTTCCTTTGTGTACAGGTTGTCCTGGTTAAAGGCTTTATTCTGAGGAGGTCCTACCCAAACTGAATAATGGCAGCAAAGAGAACTCAGAGGACACAATTCTGACAGAAAAGGTTGTTCTAGCTGAAGATCTTCTGCTGGACTGTATTATGGCAACAAAGGGGGCACAGGCAGCGGGGGACAGCACTGACAGTGATGACAGCATGGAAGGACATCCAAACTTCTCTGCTGAGGAGAGGTTAGTGTAACTATTGATTTATTCACTGAACTCAATTTGATCTCCAGTTGTTTACTAATATTAATGATCTTAAATGTATATTTTATCTGTGTTTATGATAGAGCACTCCCTGATGATCTCCTGAAGAACAGCAATGAGTTCATAAGACTTTATGAAGAACATCAGCCTGAACTCCAACAGATTATCGAGGATCTGGAAAAGAGCTCATATAAGCTTTTACATAAATACGACGAAGCAACCAGACAGAGTAGAGCAGGGGGGATCACTTCAGCAGCAGGAACTGGAGTTGGACTTGGGCTTGGTTTTTTACTGGCTCCCTTCACTCTTGGTGGTTCCTTGCTTGTTGGAGCAGCTGTGGCAGGGGCAGCTACTACTTCTGGTGCAATATGCAGCCACAAAGCTAACAGAAACAAAAAAGAGGAAGAGGAGAAGGCACTTGAAGATGTGAAGAAGGCTCTGCAGACGTTCAACACAACAGCTAAAACAGTCACCAAACACTTACACAATATCTGTAACCAAGTTGAAAAGATACTGCAGTACCAAAAAGATGAACAGTCTAGATTGTTAAAATCTGAGGTAAAAGAAATCAGAAAGCATGCCGATGATTTGTCAGAGCTTGCAAAACTGTTTACGTCAGAGGACCTACAGAGACTGTTAGAGCAGGGAACAATAACTATAGATGGAACAGAAAACATCAACCCATTTATTACATTTCTGTTAACTTACTTTGGTTTTCTCTCTGTTTTTGAAGATAACAGAACACTCAGAGATTTTGAAAAACTGAGAATAAGGAGGTTTGGAGTGCAGGAGTATGAACTGGAATCAAAAGCAGGACGGTTCATTTTGAAGATGAGAGAAACAATTGATCAATTGCAGAACACCTTAAATGAAATGAACACTTCAAAAACAGAGGTAGAGAACGTGATTGTACTCAACCTGAAGAAGTACATTAGAGGGAGAAACACATAAAAGAGCACAAAATGATTGAAAAGAACGTAGATATGCAGTTTGTAATTATAAGAAAATGGAAGTGCTGCAGAAATCCATCTGTAGAAATAGCTTGAAAACGGGCCTTTAACTTTACACCTTAGCTCAATGTAGCTCTGCTTAGCTTTCAGTGTGCATTTCAAAGGCATTTTCTTAATTACTGACATTTATGAATAACAGCTCCATTAATATGCATTTTATATTTGTAGTGAACACTGGCTGAAACTTTACCCCCAGGCTGAGTGTTTCTAACGTATCAGCAACCCAAAGTTAAGGGCCTTTTGGCTCCAGCGAGTCTGGAGTTGAAAGCGTAAATCTGTCACTTAAAATTTATGACTGAATCAAGAACCAGCACCCCTCTCCCTCGACCCAGGGGGCAACACCTCCCTGGAATATTGGCCACATGGCCCTCCAAAGTCCTGTGGACAACTTTATCTTTAAGTAACAGAAAGTACATTTCTAAGGTATATGTCCACTCCAAACTGCAACTATTCGTTAGAACTCTTTTTAACTAAACTAGACATACCAAGAACAGAACTCATACAGCAAAATTTCAACTTTCTAAATTCCCTAGCGATTTAGAAAACACACAATAAAGAGCTCTGTACCATAGTATAAACTTGAAATCTGTATCAGTCCAGCGGTGTTGGACGGACGCCAAAAGACTCTGAAGGTGTGCGCGCATGTTTTCAGTTCTAGATGCGCGTGCACCTGTCCAACGCGCCGTTGCTAGGAAACACGTGCACAAACACAGCAGGAACACTGACGAGACGCAAGCAGCTTCAGAGCTGGCTAATTAGATTTGAAACACCATGTAAATATTTTAGAAGCCCTATAATAAATAACAGTAGTGGAAATAAAGCGAAATGCAGAGTTTATCAGCACAGAAATTGAGATTTACTAGAAGAATAAAACAAACTTTGAAGGAGCGTCTATTTTTACTGTTTTTCCACAGTGGATTACTCACAGATGCTTCATCGGACCGCGATGGCGCCGCTGTTTTTAGAAGTGGGAGACTCCGCAGTTTCTAAGGATGTGCGTAGTGAACTGCTGCGGTAAAGCATTCCTGAGTTATAAAGCTGAGAAGACAAGGTGTGATTTATGACGCAAAATCCGTCATGAGGGTTGATAGGGTTAAACTAGCTGAAACAGAGGAGGCAGTGATTCTGTGGAAGACATTCCTAAAATTATGCACAACCAATCAGAGTTGGAAACAATGAGTAGCTAGTAACCTTAGGTGAGGAGAACCCAGATCAGCACTCTGGCTCCACCTCCAAAGGGTAGGGCCTCCAGCCGAGCAAAACCAGAGTGCACCGCAAATTTCGGTGGTTCAGTTCAGATTCCTGCGTTCGCAACAAAAGGGTAGCTAAGTTTCTAAGTTTGTGCCAGCCTTGGTCAGGAAGACAGGTCAGAAGTATTAGAACGCTAGAATTTCAGATCTGAAACCTTTGTTTGTTTTGTAACTTGCCTGTTCGTCTACACACCTTAAGTTTAAACCACCCTCAGAAAAGGAAGGTGGATATTCCTTGTCTGGCCAGGGAGAATATATCCATAACTTTCGATTCTGCTAAAGAGAGGTAGTTAGTTAAATTAGTATCACCAGCCTCAGAACCCTGATTGCAACCTGAACCTCTCCAGCGGAGTGGGAGCGGTTCTGACGTCACGGAGACCCAGCATCGCACCCAGAGCCATGCACTGATCTGTGAACAGATTGACCATCGAAAGCCTGCCCAAGCTCCGCCATCAGACGGCCACGAGACGCCTCCACCAATCACTGACGGAAAGGCGCGTGCCCGCACGGAGATGCAGCATCCACGACCAGCGAGGAGAGGAACCACCGTGTGAGCTCCAGCCTTCGATCGAGTCCGTCCTGAGACGACCCCTCCTGAAGTCAGCCCCCGACTCCAACGTAAGCTGGTTCCATCAATTTGCAGTCAGGGCCCTGACACCAATTTATTTAATAAGAGAACTTTTATAGGTACATCCAGCCATACAGTTATTCCCGTCCATGCTTAGTTTAATTCTCTAGAGGCTCTCCCAAGCGACTTCCCAAACCACACTGCCTCACACCATTTAGCCGTGAATCACTCTACTCGAGCTATTTTGTCTTTCATTACTATCATTTTGTTTTGTTTTGTTTTGTTTTCTGGTTTTATTTTCTATTGTTTATCATTGAATGTAGTCCAAAAGTAGTTTGATATTTAGCCAATAAATTCCCTTTTCCGAAGCATCCTTGGTGCGAGCGTTTCTCTCTCTTGCCCTGGTCTGTAGACTTCAAATAAATCCGGGTTACCTCACACCCTCACATAAGGTTCTAGCAATAATAATATTAAAAATTGCAAAACCTGTTACATATTGCATGATGTTATTATAATGCATTATATTGTAGGTTACATTTATATGTATCTTTACTGCTCTTTAAAATTTTGGAAATTCACACTCAAGATCTTTGGCTTGTGCTGTGAATTACTTCTTCAGTTATCACAGCCTCACTGCATGTTCAATCTTTAGTGTAGAGTTAGAGAAGCTGCTTTCTCTGCTTCTTCTGCCCAATTATAGAGCCAAATGTCCAAAATAAATATCATCACTGATCACCTTTGAACTGTGGTGTTCTCTTTTAGCAGCACTTCTGGATTATCCATGTTAAAGGACAGAAAGGTCAGTTACAGTCCTAAAGAGTCTCCCTGGTTGCAGATGAACTTTCATAGTTTCCTCAGCCTTCCATCATTACCTGTTTATTAATTTCTCAGCTAGGATTACAGTTTTTCACAATTGCTAACAAGCATTTTCAGTACTGAGTTATTGTCTTCAAAACTATTCACACAGTTAGTACAACATCACCCTGCTGGAATGAAATTACAAGCATGTTTTTCCATGTGTCCATGTCCAAAATTCTTCAATTTGGCAAAATATTTAGCTTTTAATGGTCTTATTAACAAATCAGTAAACCAACTGTATATATATATATATATATATATATATATATATATATATATATATATATATATATATATATATATATATATATATGCACTATACTTTGTGTATAGAGTAATAGAGTATGCCTGTTTAGGACTCGAAGATTAGGACTTTTGACTTGGGACTCACCTTCACTGACTCAGAACTTGAATTAAGACTCAACTGTCTTGACTTGGGACTTGAGTGTCAAGACTTGAGAGTTACTTGTTACTTGCAACTTAGTGACTTGTTCCCACCTCTGACTCTGAAGTATGGCAATGTTATAGTCTTCTGAGGGAACTCGCAGACAGTCTTTTACAAAAATAACAGTCCGTATTTTTCCACTCAGCAATGATGACTTCAAACAGTTGAAAACAATGGCCATGCAAGTTTGTGTGTGATTTAAGATCAAATATTCTCTATAGGGTTTAAATCTGGACTCTGACCAGGCCAAAACTATCGGTAAAACCATCACTCATTTGGGCTTGGCCCACACAGGAGTGTATGTTTAGGTTAAGGTGAATGATGTGATTTGTATTATTGCCAAATAAATAACTTCTAATGAAGGAAAGGGTTTGCTGTTTTGTATGCCTGTGATATTGACAGATTTGCTAAAACCCCCCAAAACAAGATAGATAGATAGATAGATAGATAGATAGATAGATAGATAGATAGATAGATAGATAGATAAATAAATAAATAAATAAATAAATAAATAAAAATCCCAAATGTTTGATTTGTCTGTCATACCTAAATGTGATTGTTGGGAATCTCAAGAATGTTCTCCTTCCTTCACAATGAGTCATTTGGCTGGTCTATACTGGAATTGAATAATTTAATACCAAAATGCTGTATGTCATTTTTCACCAATTTTAGTTATCATGAGTCTCTAAAAAGAAAAACAGCTGATGTAAAAAGGAAAATACATTTTTGTTTCTTTCATAAAGGTGGAATTAATCAGAAAATATAATTGGTATTTCTTTTTTCTATAAAGCTCACTCTCAACAACACATTATTAAAACATAATAATAAATTCTTGAAAGTGATCCAAAATACATTTAGGAACAAAACCTTCAACTATAGTTTTAGCACTACTGATAGATAACAAAACATCAGTGTACACTATTTGCAGTGTACACTATTTCTGTCTGGCTAATATTTACAAAACTGTGTAAGGTTCTTTTTTTTTGCAATTTTAGGAGAAGCAAAACAAAATAGTCCAATCAAAAATATCAGGTTTGTAAAACAGTCTTTCAGTGTAGAACAGCAATTTAGAAAGAAATGACTCATTAACTTAATGCTATTCTAAATACAATCTAAATACCATGACATCATGACATATTTGGAACATGTTTTGGAACATGTTGCACATTCCATACTAATGATGCCAGTGCGCTACAGTGTCACAGTGTGAGTTCTAAACATTAGTTTTTTTTATAAATTGTTTGTATACAAATGTCAAGAATGTATCTTAAGAGCAATGTTAGAATGTAATTCAAGTAGGTTGTATGAATGAGAACTCAGGGTCTTTTGTTTGTTAAGCGTATAATGCTACATGTCTCTCTACAGGTTGTAAAGCAACGTTTACCTCACTCAGTATGTTAAATGAAAGATGTAGATTGATATTCTGTAGATTTTGCTCCATATGTCTATAAATAAGACATTGCATTATTCACAGGATCATCAGACATATTGAGGCACCACTAAGAGGAATGTAAGAGACATTATTGACTATGGAGAGTTGAAAAATTCTGAGGAGTTGTGCTTGAATATCAAATATCGAGGAACATGAGTGTGTGTAGTGGAGTTTGTAAAGATTCAATAAATCATAATTTTACTACATTATGATATTCTCCAGTTTCAGCCAGAGACATGTCAAAATCTGTAACAAAAAATCATGAACATTGATTAAGCCTAGTCTAGGTCTGAACATAATGTCAGCTGTACTTTACCATGAAATTTCTATGCAGTCTAGGCTTCAGCTTAATCTTTGTTTTAAATATAACATGAAATGTGTTGTCTTTAACTGCACACACAGATGTTTGTGGTTAAGAACACAATTATATTTTTACACACCTGATTTGAGAGTGTACAGAATTACTTTATTCAGAATAAATTTGTTTTGTAACTTTGTAACAGGATTTTGTTTGTTGTCTGTTGTTTTGTTATACTGAACTTTGTGTATATGTAATGACAATAAACTTAATAAAACTAGTAAAAACCACATACAATCAAATGCAAAAGTTTGAACAGCTCTGATCATATTACGTTTTGTCAATTTTCTAAGAGAAAATATGAAAAAAATACATGCTCTACAGACAAACTATAAATATATCACTTTCTGCAAAGTTTGCACAATTTTTATTTTTTCGCTGAGTTTCATGTATGGGGAATTCAATAATTTTAAATGTGCCATAACCTTTGCACAGGACAAATCTTATGTTTTACTTTTTTTCAGTAGTTTTCAGTATGTAAACAGTATGCATTTAAATGTGTAGCAGTGTGGTCTCTGTAGGGGATGTGCTGACCACGAAGGGGAGAGACCCAGAAGAAAAAGCACGGAGTGACTGAAGAATCTATTAATAGTGTGGGGCACTTACAGAATTTTACAGAGACACAGATATTTAGGGGAGCAGAGCCTGAGGAGGATAAAGAAAAAATTAAAGTTACTCTGGTACTGTAGTATCTCGTACCGAGATAAAGAGTGGCCAGTTTAGTCCTTCAGAAGCTTCCCAAGGACATCTGTGTCCTAAAGCTAGTCACGAACATGACGGGCGCTGATAACGTACTGAAGCAATTACGCATGGCAACTGTTGCTAAGCAGTCATTTGAGTAAATAAGATGGAAATTAGCAGATTATGATTGGCCGTAATACAGTGACAGCGCTAAAAAAAAAAGTAATTCCTTTATCCCAGGAATGCTGCATAATAAATATACTGTCCCCATTTGGTTGTGCAGGCCTGTGATACTGTGGCTGTGCTCCTGAGCAGACTGCATTATCATAACGGCACTGTTCCTTTGTTTAATTTCAAGAATGGAGGACAGTGAAAAGAACTCTTCTTAAACTACAGAGTTATTTTGTTCTCATAGCTAGTTACAGCCACATGCACGCTACTGATCATTAATCCAACTCTACTAGAGTGAACTACATTTAACATCACAATTTTAAGTCTCAGTCTCAGGCACTGTGGCCACATGGAGCTTTTGGGGCTGCAGGGCTCAGCTCTAACTCAGCGTCGATCAGGCTGAAAGACACAGCTGAAAAACGGAATAAAGCACAGTGCAGGGATTTCATAAAATGTTTTATTTTGTTTACACTGAGAGGTAGATGTAGTTGTCAAATGATGAGTATATGCTAGCTGCGCATGTTACATGGATAGTTCTACTGAACTGGTTAAAAACACATTTGGGACTTTTAACTGACTTGGCTTTGAGTGACACTGCATCTTAATTATGTTTATT